GGAGGAGGAGGAGGAGGAAGGAAGGAAGAAGAAGGCGACGGCCAGAAGAGAGATGCAAGTGCAACCTGCTCTGGATGAACCAAGTGCAAGGCAGATAGGATTCAAGGAGAAGGAGCTAAAAGAGAAATGACCTGTATGACAGTTCCCTACAAGGTGCTCTCAACTAACATCATCCTACTCTTCAACCAAGTAAGCAAGAGTTCTTGTTAGTCTTCTTTTGATATTTGAAGGTTCTACTAAGTTTCCTAATTAGGTCAACTAAAGTGATTTCAGAACATCTATTGTTATTCAAACTCAATAGCTCTTTTTTCTCCAAGAACATTAACTCTATATGCAATTTATAATTATAATATACACTTTTATGATATGAAATATAATGGGAAATTATAACTTTATTAATGAACATTGGTAAGCAATATTGAGATGATGCCCCCAACATAAAGAGCCTAGAAGAAAGCGGATAATCATGTCTGTCTTGCAAGATCTCAGTCCCGTAGACTTCAAGCATTTAGGAGCCTGTCTCTACCCAATCCCGTTTTCTGGTTCAGAATCTGATCTTGCAATTGGCTGCTTCATACCTGTAAACTGCCTTTCTTTATGACATCATTACCCACCAAACTTATCATCAACTAGTAGAATCTTGATGTTCCAATGGAGTTGTCTGTAAATAAACTTGGATCATCGCAAGTGACCAGTGGCCAGTGGGCAGCATCCACTGAGCTTCTTACTGGTCATATGCGCTCCTTAGCTTCAGCTACCCACACATCATCCAGTGTCATCTCCTCATCCATTGTATCTCCAATTGATGTTACCTCTTCTCTCACCACATCAGGTAAGAAGAAAACTTTTTAAGATTTTCTTTTAGATAACTCTGCCCCTTATATTTTGTAGTAGGATCAAAAATATCCTCAAATAATTAGAGGAAGTATTGAACTAGAAATATGGAGACCAACATTCCATTATGGCTGAGATATTTACTAGATATGTGACTTAACCAGATGGCTAAAACTCTGACAAAATCTGCTGCTTCATCTACTACATGAGGATAATGGACTGTCCATCCTCTGTTCCATTCCTTTTCTAATACTGAGTCTTAAAGGGTATGTGTGTTCAGAGAATGAAGCCACCCAAACTTCTTCAGAGTGTCTATTTTAACCACATTAACTGAGAACAAAACATAGATGGTGTAGAAAACTACATGCCATCATAGTCTCATTCCACTAAGTATTTCCACCTCAGTATTTCAAATATAGTAATGTTATAAAAGTAATATGTATGTGCTTTTTAGTTTTCTGTCTAAACTAGATAAGAAATAGGAGGGATGACAGGGCTAACAGACATTCTAGGGGGAAGTTTGAGACTGTTTATAGTAAGCATAGGTCAGAGAGGGGAAGAAACAATAAAATGAGAGAGGACAAAACAGAAAAAAACTCAAGGAGATGCAGCATGAAGATAATCTCAGTAAAAGAAAGGTGGTTTAGAACAGAATGTTGAAGAGAATCAGATTGTTAAATCAACACACAGAAAGATAGAGTGTTATTTACTCAGAGGAAGGCAGAATTGTAAGTGTTAGCAAAAGCTTAGATTACTGGACTAGAAAGAAAACTAAGGGTACAACAGTGTATCATTAAAAGCAGTTTCAGATAAGTCACCTTTAGTTGGTTATAGTTTATTGACTCTGAATACAGATAATGCTAAACAGTCTTTAAGCAGTACTGGGATTTGAACTCAGGACATGGCACAAATGCAGGCTAGTCCTCAGATTTTGCTCAGGACATCCCTCTGTTATCCTCTTACCTGTGCCTCCCTTGAATTGGCCCATAGGCCTGACCACTAAAGTGGCTTTAGTTTGTGGAGATGAGGTAACACTAGCAGTTTGTCTGGGATGGCCTCAAATCACAATCCTGCTCTCTACGTCCCAAGTTGCTTGGATTTCAATGGTGAGCCACTGAGCCTAGTCATAACAGTTTTTTGGGGTTTTTTTGTTTTTGTTGGTAGTGGGGCCTGAACTCTGGGCCTAGGTACTACCCATCAGCTCTTCAGCTCAAGGCTAGTGCTCTACCACTTGAGCCACAGGTCCACTTCCGGCTTTTTCTACTTATGTGGTGCTAAGGAATCGAACCCAGGGCCTCATGCATGCAAGGCAAGCACTCTACCACTGAGCTACCTTCCCAGCCCAGTCAAAACAGTTTTGAATATAAACGTTGTAGTCATATATTTTAGATATGATTTTGCTAATAAAGATACTAAGGGAAAAGGTTATGCATAGAGCTATGTAAGAGCATTTTCAAAGTTCTATTTCATTCTGATTTATTAAATATATAGATTTTTAATGAAGTATCCTGCTTTTCATCACAAGTAGTTTTAAAATAAGAGTTACTTTTTTATCTTTACAATAAATTTCTGGCTAAACCAATATTTACTGAAAGCTACTAAGTTTTTTTGACCCAAAAATCAACAAGAAAGACCATTTTAAGAATAAAAAGGAACTGTGAAATTCGGGAAATTATGTAATCACAATAAAAAAAAAAGAACCTCGGGGAAGGTAGGGAAGGGATAATAGGGGGAAAACAATGGAGGGAGTAACAATGCTCAATAGGAAGTGTATTCATTACCTTACTCATGTAACTGTAACCCTCTGTATAGTATCTTTACAATAAAAAAGAAAGAAAAAAAACAGTGATTAGAGGAAGAGGGTTCTTCCTTTTTAATTTCATTATTATGATTTGCTATTATTTTTTTATTATTATCATGAAGAAAAAAAAGAATAAAAAGGAAAAGTTAATCTGCACATCTCTATTTCCACATTTATCTAAAACTCTTTGGAGTCTGTTAGGGTTTTCTATATTAAAAAAAAATTGTTTGGTGCTGGAACATAGCTCTGTGTCAGAGTTTGTGCTTACTATATACATGGCCCTTGTTGAATCCCTAGCACAGGTAGTAATAATTATGTTTGTTATTATTATAAAGCTGTTTTTAATAAACTTGTATTATAAAGTTGTTTTTAATAAACTTGTATTATAAAGTTGTTTTTAATTATAAAGCTGTTTTTAGTCTAATGGTGATTGTTTTTCAGACTTTGTGGGTGATATTTTCCTATGTTGAAGATGATTATAAGCTACTTTCTGAGGATAAATAGGAAAATTTTTACAATCTTTTTGGGGGGAGGGGGAGTACGGTTGTGGGACCTGAACTCTGGGCCTGGGCGCTGTCCCTCAGCTCTTCAGCTCAAGGCTAGCGCTCTACCACTTGAACCACAGCCGCACCACTTCCAGCTTTTTTTTTCTTCTGCTTATGTGGTGCTGACAAATTGAACTCAGGGCCTCATGCATGCAAGGCAAGCGCTCTACCACTGAGCCACCTTCCCAGCCCCTTACAATCTTTTTAAAGTCATTTTGCTTATGGCTATAATAGTTGGTATACCTAAATAATGTAATTTATGTGTGTGTATATATATATATATATATATTACTTGATGTGCAATATTTAGAGAAATATGCATTAGTACAATAAGGAGATTCTTATTTTTATTGCTCTGCTGTTCACTAGACCCTTTGAAATATCATTTGGCTGATTTAGAATTTTGTTTTTATACTGTTGCCCAAGCTGGCTAAAAACATCTGAACTCAAGTGATCCTCCAACCTCAGCATCCCATGTGCTAGGATTACAGATGTACTCATTTTCATTGAAATATTGGTCTACATAAGTTGTGGCCCATTAACTATTCACATTCACTTTATTTTGTTTCTCTTTATATACTTTCTACTGATAACGTTTTCCTTTCTCTATGAACTGAGTAGAAATTCATTGAAAAACAAGACTAATAATGTTGTACATGCCTATAATTCCAACATCTCAGGAGCCTAAGGTAGGAACATTACAAGTTTGATGCCAGCCTGGGCAACTTTCGGGAACTTGTCTCAAAATTTTTTAAGCTCATAATCACCTTCTACTTGGATTCTGTTTTTTGACATATTATTTACAAAATGAAAATGATGGGGCTGGGAAGGTGGCTCAGTGGTAGAGCACTCGCCTTGTCTGCCTGAGGCCCTGGGTTCGATTCCTCAGCACCACATAAGCAAAAAGAAAAAAAAGCCGGAAGTGGCACTGTGGCTCAAGTGGTAGAGCGCTAGCCTTGAACTGAAGAGCTGAGGGACAGTGCCCAGGCCCAGAGTTCAGGCCCCACGACTGGACCCAAAAAAAAAAAAAAATGGTAATGTTTACTTCCATAATATTGCATATATCAATACAGAACTTCATTTCTTACTAAATCTGCTATTATTTCATGCCTAATATGAATCTAATTAATATCTTTATTTTTATTTCTATATATTTTTACTTTTATCTAATTTGTTAGAACTTTATATCTTCTCACATATCATATACAATCTGACACTTTTATTCATAAAAGATTGATTACAAATTATTATTATAATTATTGATGAGCAACCAGAAGCTCAGGGAGATTAGCATTTTCCTTCCAAAAAGATTTCTTGACAAACACTCAAGAGGTCTTTGTGACTCCAGATTAGAAGTCAGTCCAGAAGAAGGTAAAAAAAAAAAAAAATACCCTGCTCTGTGTTTTATGTGAACTCTACAAAATGGCACATGACCTGCACAAGGTGAGACAGCAAAGACAAAAATAATAGCACTGTTTTTGAATGAGCAACATAAATTGGCCTACAGAAAAGTTTCTGTTTCCCAGGTTCTGGTGTTTGTTCACAGCACAGAGTTCTAGCAAGGAAGTCAGGCTCTGTAGGCTGATATTAACACAATGGAAATACTTGAACCAATCAGATTGACCTCTGACCTTCAGTTTCCTCACTTCTGTAATGGAGATGTTACAAGTTGTCTGAGGATATCCTAGTTCTAAAATGTTTCCATGCTAAGACATAGTTATGACTTAGTATGAGGAGCAGCCTGCTTCTAGCCCAGGCAACAGCATAGGAACCAGACAACTTAGCATCCGCAGTTGCCCAGTTTGGGAAAGTTCATCAGAAGAATACCAAATGGTTCCAGCACTTATAATCCTTCTAAATTGTTTGCTGATATATCAGTGGTTATGGTATCAGAGGGTCCTACTCATAGCCACATTCTAATATACTGTTTCTCAAATACAGTGAGAGTTTATCAATCTCACCCATTTTTTCCACCACCCTCTTGCTTCTTACAGATAATTTCTATAATCCATCTTTACTTGGGGCTGCAAACTCGCTGCAGCTCTCCCTTCCTGTGGTAAGCGATGCCACTTCTATAACAGGAAGTGTCCGCAACTTCTCAAGAATTTCGACTCCAGCTGTCACTTCAGCATGGCTAGCGCCATCAACTGCTGGCACCTCTTTTCAGCCACTCACGGGTAGTGCCTACCTTTACCAACATTCTAGCACAATGTTGTCAGGGGTTACTGGCCAGAGCTACATGTCCACTTCAGCTTCCTCCTGTCCCAGTGTTTTTGAACAGGATACCACAGGAAACAATGAGAAGAAGTCCTCTGAACTTGGAGACTTCACTATGACTCTCATTGACCAGGGCACAGCAGTGTCTTCAATGACAATGACATCCCAATATGCTAAAACTGCAGATGCCAATGCCATAGTCCCTCTCTATCCATCACTGTCTACCAGCCTTGTTCAGGCAACACCATCTCAGATTCCAAATCAAGGACATAGCTTGCCCCTTCCCTACCAAGAAGGAAACCAGGCCTATTTCTATGATCAAAACACACTGGGGCCTCTATTATCTGGAGAACTTGGTCCCTATCTGCAGTCATATGGCTCGATGTCATACACAGAGAGTAGGGCCTCTGCCCCCCAGCCAGAAATAGTGATGGTGCTCAAAGAGGTCCAGCCCACAGATGTCCTACCACCAGCCTCCACCTCTGGAATCTACTACTCTGTGTCTGCTCAGCCCGTCACAGAAGCAAATTATCAAGGTAAGTATAGACAGCAAAACTCAACTGGATTAGCCTTCAAATGAAGGTCACTTCTGTAGCTGAGTTGTGATGACCTCACAGAGAGGCAAAGTCTTAAGTCCTGAGCCTTAACCACCACCCTCTCTCAGGTCTCTCCAGTTTTTGATTCTACATAGGGCAGACAGGGCTGAGGACATGGCTCAAATGGTAGAGCACTGACCTGAGTTTAAAGCTCAGTACTGCCATAAATGAAGGAAGGAAGGAAGGCAACGAAGGAAGGAAGGAAATATGGAATGTGTGACCATCATCTGCACTGCACTTAGATGACCCACAAAACATACTCAGGCCTTGCTTTTTATCACTCTCCTCAAAATCCATTACATTGTAAGTAATCCACTGCTGCAGTCTGGTTCTTTGTTTTCTTTGGTAAATACATTAAATTTCTTGTGGTAATAATGGTTAAATTTTTCCTAATTTCTTGTGTTCAGAGATCTTAAAAACAAAACAGGCTTAGAATATGTCCTGTTATGTATTTCATGAGCAAAAACTCTTCTTTGGGCACCAGTGGTTCATGCCTATAGCCTAGATACTCATGAGGCTATGATCTAAGGATTGAGGTTCAAAGCCAACACAAATAATGTTTGAATGTAGAAAGTCTAGCTGAAGTGGGAGTGGGCAAGCCATAAGCAAAAACAACAACAACAAAAAACCAAGCAAGAACAAAAAGGCTCTGAGTTCAAGCTCTAATACTAGTTACTAGTGCTCACAGGTGCACACACACACACACACACACACACACACACACACACACACAAAGAAACACACAAAAGTCACAAGACCTTCCCTTTTTCTCACTCCAAGCTCATGGTGAGACATATTATACTCAGGAGAGTGGTAAAAATTGACCTTCCTCATTCCTCTATGAGAACATGAGGATTTATAAACTTGCTTATTTGTTGTGCATGGGTCTGAACCAAGAGCCAAGAACATAAGAAGCAGTGCTCTACCACTAAGCTACAATCCAAGTCCAAATCCTTTCATATTTTTAAGCCACTTCCACTTTTATTCCACTTACAAAACTCCTATAAAATAAAAACAAAATAATAAACAATGGCATCTAATTATTACAACTAGAGTGTTCATCATCTATCTTCCAATTCATAGTCCTGTCCATGATTCTTAGGACAACCTACTAGAAATGCTGTGCCTAGTGTTGGCAGGTTCCCCTTTCATTTTGTTGGTATGTAGATGTAGCATCTCAATAACGGGGGGACTGATTTATTCCTTCATTTCTTTGTAGTGATGGAAATTTCCCTTGGAATGGACACTTCCCTAAGACTGCATCCTCAAAGTCAGACATTCTGTCTGCCAGAAATTCCAGAAAAACCCAAATCCTTCTGTAGCATAAATGATAAAATAATTGAGAGCAACATCCTACCTGAGCTTGGGGACATCTCAGCAATACCTCCAGTCCAGAGCTCTCCTAATATCTTGGCCTTGCCTCCAGCACCAAGCCAGGAACAAACAGAGAATAACCATTTGGATGAAACTCAAAGAAAGAATCTGGATGCCTTCCAGATCTCCACAGAAAGCCAGGATTCACCATTACTTCCTTTAGAAATCCCTGACATAAGTGAGCTTCAGGCCTTTGTTGATACTTTGGGCCAAGAGGAGAAGCCTACTTGTGAAAATGACAATTTGGAAAAGAGCAGCCTGAGCCTTGAGGACCAAGGGACACTTGAAAAGGAAACTGAGTTTAGCAATGATCTTACTGATATTACAACACTGGTGGAAGATATTTACTTTCCCCAGATTCTCAACTCATTCACAGATATTGATCAATCAGAAGTTTCCACAACAATACAAGACAAAGACAAGGGAATCATCAATGTGACACAGATGCAGGAAAAATCCAGTATCACCAACAGTGCCACTGATCAAATCCAAAACAAGCATGAAGCCTTCGAGGTAGTCAGTGGAGCTCAGCACCCAAACCCAGAATGTCTGCTGGAGGAAGAGGTGATTATGAGCACCATCCCACCCAGTGACAAGGCTTCTGTGAACACAGCCAAGCATTCTACCAGCAAACCTCCAAAAGCTGCAACCAGCAGGGTAAGCAAAACTAAGCGCCATAGCCAAGAAAAGACCAAAAGGATCAGGGAAAACAACTCCAAATGTGAAGAAACCAAGCAGTCAGGGAACAAAATCAAAAAAGAAGAGAAGACAAGCATTCCCAAGATGAAACACAACAGAAGTCACCCTGAGCTTAACCAAGAGAACTTCAAAAGGCCTCGAAGCAATCTAGGTATGCATATGTTGGAGTCAGTTCAGGTTTTTCATGCACTAGGGAAGAAGAATGATAAGAAAACTGGATTGTCTTCCTCCAGATCCTTAAAAAATGTAATCAGCACACAAGACACCAAATTTTCCCCAGCTATGAAATCCTGGCTGGATATTCCTCATGAGGGTAAAGGCTCTAAAAACATTCAAGTCAAGAAAAGGGATAGGAGTGAAAGCCAGTGTCCATCACCAACCCAGGATGAGCTGCCTCCACCTGGGAAGGTCAAGCTGGTTCCTTTGCCTTTTCCAACCCCCGAGAAGCCTCAAGCTCGACCTGTTTCTCACAAGCCACAGTCTCTGGCCTCCCAGAGACCCACTGTACCTTACCCTGCCCGACCTCATTCTAACACAGCTCAACCTACCACAGTCAGCTTATCTCAACCAGCTACTGCCAACACAAGTTTCATAGGTTCCACCAAAACATCTCAGCCAACTGCAACCAATACAACCACACAGGGATTGACCAATGTTCCCCAGCCTAGTGTGTCTCAATCTGCTGTTGCTAGGCCTAAACCCTACAAAACATCATCTGCCACCTCTCTTCAGCACAAGCCTGTACCAACTGCTGGGAACAAGCTCCAGTCAATGCCTAAACCCTACAAAACATCATCTGCCACCTCTCTTCAGCACAAGCCTGTACCAACTGCTGGGAACAAGCTCCAGTCAATGCCTAAGCCTCAAAACCAGTATCTACTCCAAGATTTCAGCTGCCAACCAATTCCATGGAAGAAAGCCTATATTCCTGGGCCAGTAGTATCAAGTCCCATCACCAAGGAGCAAAGGCCAGAGCGTGAAGCCATGAAAAAGCGGGCCCAACAAGAGCGTGAGAATGCTGCCAAATACACTGCTTTGGGGAAATTGCAGTTTTTTGTTCAGAGGGAAAAAGATATGGAAATATCTCGATACTATGGCTATGCAATGTAACAGCCCTTATGATTCTGCATACCAATTTCAATACCAGATGATTTTCTAAATTACATGAAGATAGATGTAGACAATAATATGGACATATAAAAATGTATCTAGATACATAGATAATTGTAGAAGAAATTCACTATTCTGATATATTAAAAATGTAATAAAACTGAACAATGGAATGTAATGGAATTGATTAATAAACCATTAATAAAGCCGCCATTTGTGTTTTGAGATATTGCTAAACTTTGGGTTGTTTTGGTTAGACAATGTCAAAAAAAAGTACAGAAGATAGGTCTAGTTTGACCTGAGAAATGTAAAGCAATCTCTCATGGAGAATAACCTTGTATCTTGTGAACAATCAGATACAACACTTTGGAATCAAGATGCTGGTGGCTCACCTTATAATCCTAACTGGAAATAGAGCTTATAGTTCAAGTATAGAGCACCAGCCTTTAACAAAAAAGCTATGGGAGAGCACCCTGAGTTCAAGCCCTTTTACTGTCATGCACACACATATGCACATACAAGTATGTGTGTATACATGTGTATATGTATATATGTGTATATACAAAAGTATACACACAGACAAACATACACACAAACACTTTAGGAAGTAAGATACAGTACACAATTCCAAGAGGTTTTAGTTATATAGGATTAGAAATGGGAAAGGTAAACACAAAATATAGGAAAGTCTACCTCAGAAGAGACAAAGGCTCAGTTAACTGGTTACTGCATCAACCAAATTTGATTAAAGTTTGACGTTCACTTGGCTGGGCCATGAGAACTTTACCCGCACGAGGTCAACCCAGAACATGGTCTGAACGTAAGTCACCATTTACTCAACATCCATTTGCAGGGCAACAAGATGTGCTACTTCAATTAACCTTCCAACTACACAAGATCAATAGCACTGCTTCACTTGATTAGTGAGCCTCAAAAGTTGGTTAGATCACATTACAGGCAAAGCTTCAGGGCCTCCACCTGACTTTCAGAGCACAATATCTGAAGCTTATGGATAGACAAGATCAAGTATCTGAAGGGGACTAAATACTAAATGAGGATCCATATCTTCTTCCACAATCTTGGTACATGTTGCCATTTCCAACTATTGGCAGTAACTGAAGAACCTGAAGAAACATCAACTTCAGGCATCCATTCCCAGCCAGGGGCATGCATAAGGTTTCTCCTTCCTAACTGCAAGATCCAATGCCCAACTGTTGGGTTGGCCCAACTGGAGGGAAAGAAGATAATGGGTACTGGGGGAGTACTGGAAAAGAAGAGAGTAGGGAAAGACATAGGGTGAAAAGTCATCATCATTGGAAAATTAGTAAATTACACTAAAAAATTTCTTGAGTTATAATTCATTAAGTTCATTTCAAATTGTACAACATCCTATTTTACCATTCAGTGATATATTAGATTTCCCAAAATAAAACACCATTACTCTTTTTCCTTTCATGTTTTTTAACAAGATCCATTAGGTCAAGTTAGTTCACAATGCTCCAAAATAATACCATGAGAAAAACATCCAATTGAAAGTGAAACTGTAGTCTGGAGGTTCCTCAAAAAACTAAACATAGACCTTCCCTACAACCCAGCCATACCAATCCTTGGCATCTACCTGGAGCATCACAAGCTACAATATGATAAGGATAGATGCATATCCGTGTTTATTGTCACACTATTCACAATAGCCAAGATAGGGAAACAACTTTGATCCCCACAATAGATAAGTGGATCCAAAAAATGGGGTATCTATACACAATAGAATTATATACAGCCATTAGAAAAAATAAAATAGTGCTCACTTCAGCAGCACATATACTAAAATTGGAACGATACAGAGAAAATTAGCATGGCCCCTGCGCAAGGATGACACACAAATTTGTGAAGCGTTCCATATTTTTTATAATGTACTATGTGATTTTTTTTGTTTCTTTGTATGTTCTTCCCCCGTGGTGTGACCCCTGTTGTCACTGTATTTCATTCTGGTGCCCTGCATTTTTCTAATTTGGGGAGGGGAAGGGGAAAAACAAAATGCTGAAATAAGGATACAGGATAACCCATTGTAACAATGAGATACACAAGATGCTATGTTGAAAACGAACTTTACAACTTTGGGTGGGGGAGAGAGGAGTTGGGGAGGTGGGGAGAAAAGGGATGGTAGGGGAAAAACAAAGGAGGGGATAACAATTCTCAATAGGAAATGGACTCATTACCTTGCTCATGTAACTGTAACCCCTCTGTACGGTATCTTTACAATAAAAAATATATAGTAAAAAATTTTAAAAGAATGTCATTTGCAGGGAAATGGATGGAACTAGAACAAATCATGTTAAGTGAGGTAAGGCAAGCTCAGAGAGACAAATGGCATGTGTTCTCCCTGGGGATATGACAAATTACACCGGATTCTAGATACATACAGTGATACCAAAAGAGGATAGTCTTAGGAGAGAATCACAAGGGTGTAATACCCAAACGCCTCTTCATATGTATATGAAATATATATATATATATATATATATATATATATATACTGAAACAAACTCCAAAGGTATAGAAACAAAGAACTTTTTTCTTAATTTGTTTTTACTTTTTCTGATGACTCTGTATTCTTTATATTCTTTACCTTATATACGAAGTACTCATGTTCATATCTGTAGCAGGATTGGGGGAGGGAACAGAATCCAAGGGAAAAGGGTGAAAAAGTGCAGTGATAGCATGCACTGGACACTGATGAAAGTGAACTATGCAACTCCTGGTTGGAGATGGGAGGGAGGGAATGGGAGAGAAAGAGGGAACAGATGACACTGTGTGAAAGGAAATGTACTTATCTGATGTGTGTAAATATAACCCAGCTATATAGCACCTCTAAAACAATAAAATTTTTAAAAAGTGGAGTTGTGGTTCAAGAGGTAGAACGCCAATAGAAAAAAAAAGCCCAACAATAGGGCAAGGCCCTGAGTTCAAGCCCCAGTTGTATGCCGCCATCCCCCCACCCCAGGGCCTCCCAGCCCCCAACCTCCAAAACAACTTTCCCAAAGAGCAAGTTCCTGGATACAGATAGGTCATGCCCATAATCCTCATTTCTCAGGAGGTACAGCTCTGATTATTGCAGTTTGAAGCTGCTCTGGCAAAGAAGTCTATGGCACTCTTGTCAACAATTAACCACCAAAAAATAAAAAGGGAAATAGAGCTGTGGCTCAAGTAGTAGAGTACCAGCTTTAAGCAAGAAAACTAAGGAACAGCTCCCAAGCCTGAGTTCAAGCCCCACTAGCACAAAAAAAAGCAACGTGTTTCAACATTAGATTCCAAAAAACATGACAAAGATGGTTACACAAAACTGACATACAGGCCCTGAGTTCAAGCCCTACTACCAGCAAAACATAAACAAAAAAAAACACCTGACCCTTTGAAAGCTCCACCTACAAATATATTAATGAATGACATAAATGTAAGATATAACAAGTCAAAATAAAACATCTTAAATATTAAGGGTTTTTTTCACTTCTGGCTTCAAATTCATAGAAGTTTCAAAATGCTAAATATTTGAACTGTTAGAAGAGAGGAGTAAAGTGTGTTGAATTGTTCCTCATAGAACAAAATAACACACAAGAAGCTCCTTTTTCCATCTCCTCACTTTTGCTGTGTTCCATGGTTTCTGTGATGTTGCACCCAACTATGGCAGAGAATACAAGAGGCCCCAGGTTCCTTAATGGCCACTTGTGAAGGAGAGGAAACCAGAGTATCTACCATGCTGATTTTCATATATAAGAACAGAGAAAACATCCTCAATGCATCTTGCATATGAAATAGCCAGTGGATGAGATGTCAGCATGGCCCAAGGAGCAAGAGGTAGAAAGTTATGGGCAAAAGAATTTTGCCCACATCTGGAAGAAGGAAAACCTGTAGTCTATGACTCTAGTCTCTCTCTAGTGTTTACTTCTAATAGTCAAAGACCATTATACAAAGTATTGGGGCACTGAAATGAGACTTCTGCTTCTGGGAGTTAGCAGGAAGAAACACTCATGATTACAAGAAAACAAAATCCAGGATTCGCCAAAATAACAATAACTACAATGAAGGGGATCAAAGGGGAGGGCACAAATGAGAGAGCAACTCCAGCCCAGCCCAGAATTCAAGAAGAAAACACGGAGAAGTATACTGGATCACATCATTCCCTCCTTACATTAAAATTTCTATTGTAGTATTTCAAATTTAGTTCTGTTCAAAGAATAATACTCACGTTTCAATTTTCTGTCTAAACTAGGTACAAAAAAGAAAGGAGGAGGGAGGATGGATGACTGGGTTAATAGTAGGCAGATAATTCTAGAAGAAAAATGTTCAACAGGAACTGGAGAGGTAAAGAAAAAGTAAAGATTTGGGGTTGAAAGTATGGCTCATTTTGTAGAGCGCTAGCCAATGAACAAAAGCAGCAGGTATTGAGTTTGAGTTCGAGTCTCGGACCTAAAAAAAAGAAAAAGAAAAAAGCTAAAAGATGTGGAAGGAGAAAATATGATAGAATCAAAGATATAAACAGAATGGAAACATTCTCAAAGGGGGGGGGAGGGAGAGGGAGAGAGGGTGGGAGAGGGAGAGAGGTAGTTTAGATGTAACGTTGAAGAGGACCAAACATTCTAAAATTAATGCACAGACAGCAGAGTGAAATCAAGTGTAGAACACAGTATCATTAAAAGCAGTATAAGAGAAGTCACCTTTAGTTGGTGGTGGTTCTATGTTTGTTTTATTCTTTAGACCTAAAAATCAAAAAGAACGAATTCCGTAAAAATAAAAAGCAAAGGTTAATTTCTGAAAAGTACTTGACAATTTCTTTTTTCAACCCAATTATGAACTCAGTATATGGCTGGCCACTCCCCAGGCCCTCTCTGTTTCTACTATTTTTTTTTCAGATAGGATCTGGAGTTTTAGTTCAGGCCAGTCTTGAACCATGATCCTTCTACCTGTGCTTCCCTTGTACCTAGGACCACAGCTACATGGGGTTG